AAACAGTTCTGCAATAAGGTATGGAATGAATGAACCTGTCTTCCAAGGCTTCAACTATTCATTTCCTGGGCAATCTTATAAAAGGTTCCACATGTTATAGCAAAAATACTTACAAACTGTGACATGCCGGACTTTTGTACCTATTGGAAGAGAAAGACAAAATACAGACAATTGATGGGGAAGAAATAACATTTTGTAACGTGAGCAGTTGGATCTTACTGGCTGTACCACCCAGAGCCTGAGCCGGTAGTGCCTGCTCCACTCCGGTGGGGGGGGGACATGCAGGTGGCCAGTGTTTCCTGACCGAGTGCTTTGGAGCTGCAGAGTGCCACTCAGGCTGGGAACAGACTGACTGTCCTGTTCATCTGAATCCTATAACCTCCACCACAAGCTGAGCATTTCCCGAAGGCCACATGTGGGCTTCAAACACAATTTTCCTTGTTCTTCCCAGGGTGCTCCCCAAATGCTGAGATTCTAGTCTGTCTAGGAATGTGCTGAGATCGGTAAGGCCTCACTTTCTCCACACTAATAACAGCAAAAAATGTGTGAACTGCAGTTGTTTCCACAGGGGGAGAAGATACACGTGGAAGTTTGTTTGCCCATGCACTGGCTGTGCTCACTATTTATAAACACCTCCTGACAGCCCTATTCAGCAGTTCAGAGAGTTCTTTGTACAGAAGATTGGTGGGTAGTGGTCAGATCCACTGAGAGTCTAAACAGCAAAACTTACAGCACCTGGCACCCTGAAGTATACGCCTCCACTTTCAAACGATTACTGCCAGCCTATTAATTACTAAAAATATAAGTTCTCACATTAAAAACATAGTGTTTTTAAAACTCAGCCTGCCTGCCACCTAATTTACATGGCAACTAAAAAAACATTTTTAAACTGGTGGTTCATTAAGAGATTTAATATTTACATTTTCTTCACTTATCTCTGTCCATTCCAGAGTAGATGCTTGGCTACTTCTTAAATCCTGAAGAAAAGTTCAGATTAATATTTAACATCCATCAGAATTCTAAATATAACCTGCTTGACATATAAAAAAATTATAAATGATATTAAACATGAAAATATGACAGAAAGTGATCCAGAAATGCATGAACATTAGCATCCTTCTCCCCTCTATCAAGCTGGCAAATGTTAATATCAGAACTAATGTCAAGAAGAATGTGAGCAGGGGCTTCCCTGGTGGCGCAGTGGCTGAGGGTCTGCCTGCCGATGCAGGGGACACAGGTTCGTGCCCCGGTCTGGGAAGATCCCACATGCCGTGGAGCGGCTGGGCCCGTGAGCCATGGCCGCTGAGCCTGTGCATCCGGAGCCTGTGCTCCGCAACGGGAGAGGCCACAGCAGTGAGAGGCCCGCGTACCGCAAAAAAAAAAAAGAAAAAAAAAAAAGAATGTGAGCAAATGAATACAGATCTTGAGACTACTTTGTTTTACTCTCTTTGGAGGGCAGGTTAGCAATTTCAATCCTAACTTAAAATGCAGGTACCCTTTGACGTCCCGCTTCTAGGAAACAATCCTAGTGAACTGCTCCACTATGCTCCTGAATTAAGGAAACGGCCCCTCTCCAGCTGTAAAGGCTGTTTGTTTTGTTCTTACTGTTTTGGGTTTTTGCTGGAGCCATGCTAGATTTGAGATCCTACAGACAAGCAAGCCCTGGTCAATGATTAGCATCCTACTAGTCTGAAAGATTTACTTCCAAGAAATTAACACACTAATGAGGGACATATTTACACAGTTTTCAAGAAAACATCACCAAAGACCCCCCACCTCCCCCCATGGAAGGGCACTGACCGAGCTGAAGCTGAAACCCACGGAGTGAATTATAACTTTGCCATAAATGCCCAGGGTGTCGACCTTCTCTAGGCTGATCCTGTGGGTGTAGATCAGGGTATGTTTTCCATTGACAGCCACCTGGACAAACACAGAAGACAGCCCGCCCCCCCCCCACCAAATAAAATAGTTGTTAAATGCATTTTAGTAGGTATCAGTGCACAGGGCGCCTCCCTCTCCCGCCAGATGTCAGTACTTGTAGGAGTGTGGGGAAGACACACCGAACACAGTACAGTCTCTGATCTCAAGGAGCTGAAAATCCCATTGGCAGGCAAAAGAAACAAAGGAAAAAACCAAAGCTCAAGAGCACGAACAAGCATTAAAAAGAACGATACAGACCCAAGTACTCCAATGGCCAGAGGAGGGATGAGGGGAGAGAGGAGGTTTAGGGGAGAAGTGCTGATGGGAGTGGGCTCTGAGGGTCAGAAGGGCCTGCACCTCGGGTGGGGAGTCTCCACCTGAGCTGTCAAGTCCTCCGCAGGCTCGCGGGCCAGCGGGTGGAGGTGCCTCCAGGACCACACACACCCGAGGAAGCAGCAGGAGCACTGACAACACACAGCGGGGCTGCTACGAGCTCCTCTGGGTCTAGAATCTCAAGATCCTACAGGACTAGGCTGCGGCAGGATGCAACTTTACAAACCCCTACTCCTACGCCAGGATCCCGTCTGTCTGTCAGTTCAGACTCTCCCACGCTGCGGGTCCTGCTGCCCGGGGTTTACTTTCCCATCCTGAGTGTAAGGCTGTGCCAGGTCACAAGGAAGCTCAGCCCTGCGAGGAGCAATGATCTAACAAAAGCCGGCTGTGCTGGCCTCGCCCTCCGCCGGCGCGGCGACCCCCGCAGGGATGCTGGCTGTGCCCGCCTCGCAGCAAGGTCCCTGCCGGGCCCTCCTCTAGAGGAACATGATAAAGGCAAACTCTTCCTCTGGATTTAGGACACGCAAGGGTGAGTTCACTCATGTGAAAAGCTTCCCTCATGCTTATTCTCACGAATGAGGATCTAACCCCTGTTCTCCAAAACCTGCCTGGAATTTGTCTTTCAGCACCATGATCACGATCTCAAAAGATTTTTCTTTATTGAAAGGCATGTCATAGGTGATCTCTTCCCAGCCCCACTTCTCATTTTTCAGAGTGTTGCAAACAATGCAGTTGGCCCTTCTGAACCGTGGATTGAAATGAAAGGCCACGTCTGCTCGAGGTTTCACACTGCTGCCACACTGTAAGTCCACCTGGAACCTGAGGAGGGGAAGAAATACAGGCCGCGTGAGGACTCAGGAAGGCGGCCTCGCAGGCCCGGTAGCGCAGAAACCCAGGCCGAGTGACAGCTGACGGATCTTCTGTTCACTCACATGCTTTTGGTGGCAGTCCACCACAAGCACCTACATTGCCCAGTCTCCCCGCAGGTGGGTTTGCCCATGTGCCCCAAGCTCTGCTGATGGGGTAGAAGTGAAGTGTGCAAGGAAGACTCCTGGAAATGGACTCAAAAGTCAGTTGGCATCTGCCTTCTGTCCACCCCCCACCCCTTCCCCCCAAATAGCACATGGTCCCAGGCAGCTACCCAAACAACGTGAGGACTAGAGTCCTAGCTTCCAGGAACCATGAGAAAGAGGACCTCACCCTGGGATGGCAGGGTGAGAGCATGAAGAGGCCCACTCCTCCAACAGCTTGCTGGCGCACACCCTTCAGCCCTCTGGACTGTCCCCTTTAGATGTCACGTTCACATCTTATTAAACCACTGTTGTTCAGGCATCCACCACATAGAGCCGAGCCCAACTGTAGCTGATACAGCCTCATCCAGACTCTACCCAAAGCAAGCATTAGATAAAACCACCCAGAACAGCTCTTAAGAGATGGTGTGGGAATGTTACACTGTAACCAGACTGTGTCCCTGTCATCTGACCACAATTCCCTTCATTAACCGTATCTCTGATTCTTTATACTAAAATGAGACTTATAGCAACAAAAAATCCAAATAACCTGTATTTCAGTTTTTCATTCCAGTTTCCTCAGCACCTTGGCCAGGGCTGCTATAAAAGCAAAATCAGGCCTCCGAGTATCCAAATGGTCTCTCCCTCATGATTTTTTGTTGTCCCACAATCACAACGAGTTTATTCTTGTTCTTTTCTCATCTAACAGAATGACTTTACCTGTCTGAGTCACTAGGAACGTGCCCACGTAGTACAATCAAAGTTCCAGGCTCCAACTGCTCAGAAATGGTCCCAACATAGGGGATTATCTAGGAAAAAAAATAATTTTAACAAATGTCCATTTACAAAATCAAAAGACTACATTCTTAAAAGCTGCACATAAATATTACTCAGCCATAAAAAGGAACAAAACTGTGCCATTTGCAGAGACGTGGCTAGACCCAGAGACTGTCATACAGAGTGAAGTAAGTCAGAAAGAGAAAAACAAATGTTGTATAGTATCGCTTATATGTGGAATCTAGAAAAACGATACAGATGAACTCATTTGCAAAGCAGAAATAGAGGCACAGACGTAGAGGACATATGGATACCACGGGGAAAGGGGAGGTGGGATGAATTGGGATGAGGGAATTGACACATATACACTACTATGTATAAAATAGATAACTAATGAGAACCTACTGTATAGCACAGGGAATTCTACTCAGTGCTCTGTGGTGACCTAAATGGGAAGGAAATCCACAAAGGAGGGGATATATGTACATGTATAACTGATTCACTTTGCTGTACAGCAGAAACTAACACAACATTGTAAAGCAACTATACTCCAATAAAAATTTTTTAAAAAAAAGGCTGCACACAAGTCTGCTCAGACCCTAGCATTTTCCAGGTCCTTCCTCCCCACCATTCAAACAGCTACACCGGAACAACATGTCTAGGAGACTCGCAACACCTGCACACCACTCCGAGTTCTTTAGGAAAAGACACATATTATTCACAGTACTTTTTATGTGGCTGGGGGTTCTGTGAAATGCCACACCCCACCCCTCCGTCTTTCCTAAAGTTCCACTGATCCCAACAGCAGGATCCAGAAGAGGCCAGGCCCTAGGCCAGTGCTGACAGAATGATAAGCACTTACTGCCTGCAGAGGGTGCTCCAAATGCAGCCACTCTGCTGCAACTGGGATTGCGTGCCTCACCTTCCCTGCTGGGCTTCCAAGCTGCATCCCACAGGGCACTGCCAGGAACCAGAGAACTGCATGATCTGAAGGGCGCACTGTGGGTGCCTGTGGATCTCTCAAAACAAAGCACCTCCATACCCCGCCTGGTCCAGGGTGCAGGCCTGGGCCCCCGACTGGTGGTCCCACACAGGATTTGGGTCTGCCCCTCCCCCCTTAATCAGCTGGAAGCCAGCCTCTTTGTCTGGGGCCTGACATGATCAGATCTTGTCACTCCCCTCCCCCAGATGTTCCACCCTCCCCCAGGTGCTCCACCCTCCCCCAGGTGCTCTGCCATCCTCCCGGCCACTGGCTATGTGGATGCATCTCCTGCATGACAACCACCTCCCTCTTCCCCCTGGGAGCCTCTGACCACACCAAGCAGGCCAGACACCAGCATACCTTACACCAAGCTCACCCGGGTTACATCTATGCTAAAATTGATCCAGGGTAGCTCTGACTGTCAAGAAGAAAGAAAGAAAACAAGAGAGGTCGTATAAAAGTAGTTGTAAATCAGTGGTTCATTGGCTGAAAATCTCAGCTCAAGCACAAACTCCTCTGTGGAGCCTTGCTCACACTCCCTGGGCCAACTGAGTTTAGCCGCCCTCTGAGGGTCAATCACAGCACTCTGTACTCGGTTCACTTGCAAACAAATGCCTACACTGCGAGCTGCATGGGGTAGTACTGGGTCATCACCTTTACACCCCCAGGACAGAGGTCAAGAGATGATCAATAATCACTTGGTGAATGAATGAGCTCTCACCAGCCCGGAAACTGGGCTCTGGCAGGCCTCACATGTGCAAAGGAGCAGCAACTAAGCGGCTGCTGAATGGAGTGTTGCTGCCTTAAGCAACAAGACAAGAAATCAAATCCAGTTGTCATGTGGTGTCATGGCAACTGCTGAGGGCAGTATGGGGCAGATGAAAAGAGCTTATCAGACTAGAAAACAAAAAACAGATGTACAGAGCACGGCTACAGCTGCACCTCAGAGTGGATGGTTTTCGTGTATAGAGAATGTGGAAGCAATTACTCCTCTTGGCCACAGCCCAAGAATAAATAGCAGCATGTTCCATTTTGTAAATCTCTTAATAAAATGAGAAGTTTTTGTAACTTCAGATTTTTTTATATGTTCAACTTGTATTTATGCAGATTATTTAATAACACAAAAATGTCAGTGATATAATTATCGGTGAGAAAGTGGCCTACAAAACCCCATACAGTATGGTCTTAATCAAGTTAATAATAAACATTAAAAGGGAAAAAGAAAAAGAAATAAGCCAAAAGGGAGCTTCAAGATGGCAGAAGAGTAAGACGCAGAGATCACCTTCCTCCCCACAGATACATCAGAAATACATCAACACGTGGAACAACTCCTACTGAACGCTGGCAGAAGACCTCAGACCTCCCAAAAGGTAAGAAACTCCCCACGTACCTGGGCAGGGCAAAAGAAAAAAGAATAAACAGAGACAAAAGAATAGGGACGGGACCTGCACCAGTGGGAGGGAGCTGTGAAGGAGGAAAGATTTCCACACACGAGAAGCCCCTTCGCGGGCGGAGACTGCGGGAGGCTGAGAGGGAAGCTTCGGAGCCACGGCAGAGAGCGCAGCAACAGGGGTGCGGAGGGCAAAGCGGAGAGATTCCCGCACAGAGGATCGGTGCCGACCGGCACTCACCAGCCCGAGAGGCTTGTCTGCTCCCACGCCGGGGCGGGCAGGGCTGGGAGCTGAGGCTCGGGCTTTGGAGGTCAGATCCCAGGGAGAGGACTGGGATTGGCTGCGTGAACACTGCCCGAAGGGGGTGAGTGCGCCACAGCTAGCCGGGAGGGAGTCCGGGAAAAGGTCTGGAGATGCCGAAGAGGCAAGAGACTTTTTCTTCCCTCTTTGTCTCCTGGTGCGCCAGGAGAAGGGATTATGAGCGCTGCTTAAAGGAGCTCCAGAGACGGGCGCGAGCCGCGGCTAAAAGCGCGGACCCCAGAGACGGGCATGGGACACTAAGGCTGCTGCTGCTGCCACCAAGAAGCCTGTGTGCGAGCACAGGTCACTCTCCACACCTCCCCTCCCGGGAGCCTGTGCAGCCCGCCAATGCCAGGGTCCCGTGATCCAGGGACAACTTCCCCAGGAGAACGCACGGCGTGCCTCAGGCTGGTGCAACATCATGCTGGCCTCTGCCGCAGCAGGCTCGCCCCACATCTGTACCTCTCCCTCCTCCCGGCTTGAGTGAGCCAGAGCCCCCGAAGCAGCTGCTCCTTTAAACCCATCCTGTGTAAGTGAAGACCAGACACCCTCAGGTGACCTACACGCAGAGGCGGGTCCAAATCCAAAGCTGAACCCCAGGAGCTGTGCAAACAAAGAAGAGAAAGAGAAATCTCTCCCAGCAGCCTCAGGAGCAGCGGATTAAATCTCCACAATCAACTTGATGTGCCCTGCATCTGTGGAATACATGAATAGACAATGAATCATCCCAAATTGAGGAGGTGGACTTTGGGAGCAAAGATGTTATTATTTTTTCCCCTTTTTCTCTTTTTGTGAGTTTGTATGTGTATGCTTCTGTGTGTGATTTTGTCTGTATAGCTTTTGCTTTCACCATTTGTACTAGGGTTCTATCCATCCGTTTTTCTGTTGTTTTTTAAATTTTTTTTACTTTAAATTTTTTTCCTTAATAATTATTTTTTATTTTAATAACTTTATTTTATTTTATCCTCTTTATTTCTTTCTATTTTTTCTCCCTTTTATTCTGAGCCGTGTGGATGACAGGCTCTTAGTGCTCGAGCCAGGAGTCAGTGCTCTGCCTCTGAGGTGGGAGAGCCAAATTCAGGACACTGGTCCACAAGAGACCTCCCAGCTCCACGTAATATCAAACGGCAAAAATCTCCCAGAGATCTCCATCTCAATACCAAAACCCAGCTTCACTCAACGACCAGCAAGCTACAGTGCTGGCCACCCTATGCCAAACAACTGGCAAGACAGGAACACAGCCCCATCCATTAGCAGAGAGGCTGCCTAAAATCATAGTAAGGCCACAGACACCCCAAAACACACCACCAAACGTGGACCTGCCCACCAGGAAGACAAGATCCAGCCTCATCCACCAGAACACAGGCACTAGTCCCCTCCACCAGGAAGCCTACACAACCCACTGAACCTACCTTAGTCACTTGGGACAGACACCAAAAACAACGGGAACTACGAACCTGCAGCCTACAAAAAGGTGACCCCAAACACAGTAAGTTAAGCAAAATGAGAAGACAGAAAAACACACAGCAGATGAAGGAGCAAGGTAAAAACCCACCAGAACTAACAAATGAAGAGGAAATAGGCAGTCTACCTGAAAAAGAATTCAGAATAATGATAGTAAAGATGATCCAAAATCTTGGAAATAGAATGGACAAAATGCAAGAAGCAGTTAACAAGGACCTAGAAGAAATAAAGAGGAAACAGACAATGATGAACAACACAATAAATGAAATTAAAAATTCTCTAGAAGCGATCAATAGCAGAATAACTGAGGCAGAAGAACGGATAAGTAACCTGGAAGATAAAATACTGGAAATAACTACTGCAGAGCAGAATAAAGAAAAAAGAATGAAAAGAACTGAGGACTGTCTCAGAGACCTCTGGGACAACATTAAACACACCAACATTCGAATTATAGGGGTCCCAGAAGAAGAAGAGAAAAAGAAAGCGTCTGAGAAAATACTTGAAGAGATTATAGTTGAAAACTTCCCTAATATGGGAAAGGAAATAGTTCATCAAGTCCAGGAAGCACAGAGTCCCATACAGGATAAATCCAAAGAGAAATACGCCAAGACACATATTAATCAAACTGTCAAAAATTAAATACAAAGAAAACATATTAAAAGCAGCAAGGGAAAAACAACAAATAACACACAAGGGAATCCCCATAAGGTTAACAGCTGATCTTTCAGCAGAAACTCTGCAAGCCAGAAGGGACTGGCAGGGCATATTTAAAGTGATGCAGGACAAAAACCTACAACCAAGATTACTCTACCCAGCAAGGATCTCATTCAGATTCGACAGAGAAATTAAAACCTTTACAGTCAAGCAAAAGCTGAGAGAGTTCAGCACCACCAAA